TCTATTCATTAGCCTCAACCCAGAAATGCATATCGACGAACCTACTAGAATCACACGTACGTCCTCTAGAATTATTGACTATATTTGTTATAATTTTGCTGAACACAAATCCACATCAGTTTTTCCTGCAGGCTCATCTGATCATGAAGCAACTCATTTTGAATTCTGACTAGATAGAGAGAAAAACAATATGAAATTCAGAGAAGGTAGACTCTTTAGCGAAAATAATTAGGTAACACAAATTCAGACTAAAATGTGAACAAACTGATTGGAATCATATAACAATTTCTTCAGATCCTGTTACCATTTTCCAAGAAATCTTAGCAAATAATTTCAACGAATGCCTCCCATTACGAAAACTGAAAATAAAGTATAATAAGCCTTAGATCCCAACAGGTTTAAAAATTTCTGCCAAGAATCTGAGATCCTTGCGTACAATAAAAAAATTTACATCGAATTTAGGTTTCGTGTAGTATTTCAATAGATATAGAAAAATATACCAAAGCTTGATCAAAATATCAAAAAATAATTACTACTCAGAAATAATTGAATCATCACAAAATAAACCTAGAGAGGAATGGGCAATTATTAATGAATTGCGGGGTAATGGAAGGCTATCTTCATCAGCAGTGATCAACGTTGATCTGAATTCGTTGAATAATTTTTACTGCTCCAATGCCGAACAAATAAGAGCCACTATAGTACCTCAACTCAACCCTTTAAGTTATCTTGATCAAATTCAGTGTCATGATAATTTCAACTCAACACCTACTAATGTTTACGAGATAAAACAATATCTCAAGGAAATAAAAAATGATAAGTCCGCTGGGTTGTACGGTATAACTAGAAGACTCCTTGAGAACCTACAGATAGAAGCTCTATTTGTACTAACTGAGGTAATTAACAAATAATTTGTGACAGGAGTATTTCCCTCAGGGTTGAAGACATCAGTTGTTTTACCTCTCTATAAAGGTGGAGAGGTCACCCACCAACCCCTCGAACTTCAGACCCATCTCGTTATTATCAACTATCTCGAAATTGATCGAAAAGCTAGTGAAGAGAAGATTGTTGAAATTTTTATCAAATGGAAAAATATTGAATGAATTGTAACGGTTCAAAATACATTTAATTTTTTTATTCGGTTTCAGTTTTACTTTTTTTAGGTATTCATTCAACGCAGTTATTTGTCCATAATTGTCCGTATCGTTGGCTTCGGAATCGTAGCCACAGTTCATTTAACTCGGATGTTAAATGGGTTGCATATTCTTGGTGGACAGATTGCCATATTTATAAAGAATCACGGGTTGCCGAAGTACAATTTATTTCCTAGTTCTCGGTATGGAGAAAAAAAAAACTTTTTTTTTCTACAAGAGATAAAAATTAAACTGGTCGGATTTTGCGAAGTAGCAGTGCTGATGTGTAGGAATTTTTATGTCGTGTTCCAAATTAAAAATTCTCACAAAATTGTGGATTACTGCACTTCTGCTTTCAAGCGACTAATTGCCTACCGTTTCGTCACTTTGTTGTGACCTCAGCGAATAGTTCGCTATTCGTTACGAAGGATTTACGTAAGCCGATAACAACGTCATCAATCTATACAACCCTCAACCAACCAAAGAGGTAAGGGAAAATAAGAAAGCCGGTGAGGCTAAAGATAATTAAAACGGGGAATATTTTTTTAGGGTTTTAGTTCTATTCTTAGTCTAAGTCTTCGTCCTGGTCCTGGTACCCATGACCCCAGGTTTTACCGTGACCATTCAGTGATCGTCCGATTATTGGGTTTCAATTGGGCTCCCAAACGATTATTTCTACAATATTCCATAACCGGCCGTTCCATATCTGAGACCGCCTGGAGAAATTGCAACCCACTTGCGAATTATTTGAACATTGGATTTAGAAAAAGTCAAACAGTGGTGTGATTCTAATTTACTCTCCTTCAACGTAGACAAGATCAAAATTGTAAACTTCAAATTCAGTTATGACAAATTGCTATTGATGGTAGGACGATAGAAGAAACGACTTGCACTAAATGTCTTGGTCTGCATATTGACAATAAGTTAAAATTTAAAGAACGTGTCACATCTTTATGCATAAAATTGGCTTCAAGATCATTTGCTGTCAGAATTGTCTCTAATGAACTTGACATATTTACTGCTAGATCGACTTACTTTGCCCTAGTAGAGTCTCATCTAAGGTATGGCATTGCATTTTGGGGATTCTGTAGAAAACAACTATTGAATCAGGTCTTCGTGTTGCAAAAGAGATCTTTGCGGTTTTTATGTGGGGCAAACTATAGGGATAGTTGTAGACAACTTTTCGTTAAATACCGAATCCTCACTCTAGGTATTCAGCATCTTCATTCTCGAAATTGTTTGTCTGATTCATAAAAGATATAACACTGATTCTCCAGGTACATATAGAATCCACAACACAAGAATAACAGTAGTAATAATATTCATTTGCCAATACCCAGATTAACCCTAACAAAACACTGTAACATGTACTAAGGGAAAAACATGTTCAACCATTTACTCTCAGGTAGTTAGGGATATAATAGAGCAGAGACGCTTCAGAGAGTCGTCAAAAATATACTGCTCATGAAAGCGTATTATAGCCTGAAGGAATATTATGAAGACAAATTGTAAATATTCTCAGTGTTCTGCCAAAATAAGCTTAACAATATTATGTATTAACGATCATATTTTTATTATTANTATAATAAGAACTCTCTTGCTCCTATGAATAGCCATTAACTGCCGACATAATTTCTTTATCGTTGAAAAATTATTGCCACTGAGCTATTTTTTCAAGTTTAGGAACAGAAAATGATCCGAGGAAGACGAATCTGGCAAATGGGGTGCATGAGGTAGAAAACATCAGTTCGTTAATGTTGGTCAACGCAGCGTCTTCAAACTTGCAACATATGCTTAATAGATTATGTACTTTCTAATACAGTGAAATTAAAAAAAAACTACCGCCATCTCTTGTGAGGTCGGGTATTTTTGGGACCACCTTTGTACGATATTTTTGCCTCGCTGTATCACGAACTCATGTGAAGAACTGTAAATTTAAAAGGAACAATAAATTATTACTATCATTACTATCACTATCATTCAAAATATTTTTTCCTTAGAATCTGAAGAAAATCAACCCCAAGAAGATGCCAACTATCCACCCTGGGCTCACCTGCCAACTGTGATTCTTGTGGAAATTTTCAGTTACTTAAACCAAAAGGATTTAGGAAATGCGTCTGCCGTTTGTAGAAATTGGAGACCACTTTTTTTCCAAGGTGAGTGTTGATCATATGGCCCATTATATTATCGTTTCTAAGGATTTTCGATCGTCATATGTTCACGTGTTCTGTTGATGAAAGTGGTTCGCAGGTAGATACGGTCAGTAATAATATCAAACTTGTTCGATTATTGACCTATTCATTTTGTGGAAATTCATATTGAATCAGGATAAAAAAATAACTTTTTTCTGATTTCTCAAGTGAACTGTTTTCTTGAAAAGTAAACTCTTGTTTACTTGAGAATGGTTTTACATCCCGAAACCGGTCGTAACAAATAAAAAACTTAGTAGAAATCAGGCAAAAGTTATTTTCTTCCTATATGGCATAATATCAAAGGTTCATAATGATAGTGTTGTAAATTTTACTGTGAGTCATTTCACTTACACTTTTAAAAAAAAATAGTTGATCAAATCATATTTGCTATTCCTCTGTCAGCGGTAAAGGTACATGTTGTTGGTAACCCCGAGACTAAACCAAGTTCATTCGCCGTTAGGGTAGATGCCCTAAAAACAAATGCCCCGACTCCGGCAACAGAAAAAAATAATTCTTTAGACACTTCGAACTGTTTATAGTAGCGGTCGTCACACTTTTCTGACCAAGGGCCACACAGGACAATGAGGGTGTCAACGCCGGGCCGCAGAGTATGTGACGTTTTCGCATTAGGTCGCATGACAGCCGCGCGTCTCTTTTCAATATGGAAGTCGCGCGGCAGTCGCGCGACCTAACGTGAATGCACTCAAAGAGCGTTTGCCTACTTATCTGTGTTCAATTAACTTTGTTATTAAACATTTCGCACTAGCTGGGCACGCGACGTCGTTCGCGTGGGAGTTGATATCAAAAAAAGAACTCATACATAGTGTTCATCAGAATGAATTTTGGAAAAAAATAATTTTCAAATATATACAGGCAGTATTTTTATCATATGGTAACATTGCTATATTCTAAACCATAACAGATACGAAGANAGCAAAATTTCCTAACTTTCGAAGCAATAAAAGCCGAGGGATTAGTTACTACTATAATATACTAATTTTCTTACTTAGCTATCCAAAGATTGGCTGAATGCTTATGCCCGTTTAGGGTATGCACAAACAAAAATAAATTTTGGTGATTATAAAAATAATAATGGGAATTATTCTACTTTGGACCAAGGTCTTTGGTCTTCCACCATGTATAGGAATATTCAATACAAATGAAAGGAAACAACACTTAAATGATATTGTGCTTTTTGTTTTGTACTATTATTTTTTCTATTTTCACGGCCCGAAATTTCCTAACTTTTCCAAGTCGAAAAAACAGCTAAAAGTTGGGAATTTTCTAAAATTGTCATTTCAAAATTTGTGGATTGTTCAGGGCTGTTTTCTTACTTGGGAAAAATTGAACTTTTTTGAAGATTTCAAACAACTCAGAATTCTCTTCAAGTTATGCATGTTGGGAAATCCCAACTTTCTCCTTTTATTTTTATTCATTTTTTTACTTTTATTTTTTTCTATCTTCATGACCCAAAATTTCCCAACTTTTCCTAACTTTTTCCCAAGTCGAAAAAACAGGGGGGGAGGCTCCCCCTTATCCCCCTATGACTACGGCCCTGAGTTGACTATTGGAATAATTCACTCTGTGGAGGGCTGCTATTTGACGACACGGGTTTATAGGATGCTAGACTTCCGATGATTTTTGCGACGTTTATTTTATTTTCTGTTTCAGGTGGTGGAAGACGATGTCAGTTCCGATATTGCGAAATGAGTTGAAAAAGGCAGAGTTCGTTTCTTGTCATTTTGGACATGTCACAGAGTACGCGAAAGTACTTCTGGACTTGACTCACAACAAATGTGCCAAAAAATTCATCGTTTTGTTAAAATGTTTAGAAAAGAACAACAATTTAAGATGTTTAAGTATTACACCACCTCATTGCCAAAAAATGAAAAGGTGAGTTTGGATTCAGAAATTTTTTCTTTTTGTTCATATTTCGAGTATGGAAGAGAATTCAGAGTGAAATATGCCTACTGATCGAAAATGCCGTCTTAAAAATACAAAATTGTCTTTCTTTTCACGTCCTTTCATTTGACAAACTGAATTAGAATTATTAAAATCAAAAACTTTTGTTCCAAACTTATTACGGTCACACATGGAGGTCTGCAAGATTCCCATCTGAATCCGTTTTTACCTATTCAAAATTTTCATAACGATCTAGTTAACAAATTCAAATATCGATTCATTTTTTCTCTTGAGTGTCACTTACATCAATATATTTTTGCCACCACAGAGTCTTACCAATTATTTTGAGATATAGTAGAATCATTTGTTAAATTTCATTTTATTACGTGTAAACAAACATCCAAACATTTTAATTTCAGGAATGGGATTACCCGTTTTTGTACCAGATAATTTGAATAATAAAAATAGTAGAGTTATTCATGTGAATATACAGTAACATATGACAAGAAATAACAAAATAGTATAGTGTAATCATATATACACTGTGTCCGTAAAGTATGGAACAAATTCATTTTCAGCTAAACAGGTCATTTTAAGAAATAATCCTGAAACACGTCGATTTTTGATGTTAAT